CATCACAAACTTGGAAGAGTAGCAATAAAAATTATCACTCTCGATACATTAATAAAAATCTATTAGCAGTGATTAACAGTAAATCAGTTAGGTAGAAAATAGAACATGGGGTGACGCAAAAGTAGATACGTTATCATAAGGAGATACTAAATACTCTTAAATATCAATCTGATTCCATAATACATTTTAGCTTGTAATATAATTTATTCATAAACCTTTACATACATAGAAGTTAAAGATAGCAAAAATAAGCCTTGGAAATGGTATTTCAATAATGGCAACAGATGAAAACTCAAACAATCAATGTTACATAAGTACACAATTTATAAACATTATTTTATTTTGTGAGTATTCCAAATATTTTTTACATGAGTACTTTGGATTTTTAACCTGATCACATTCTCCTCGATTACCTACACAATTTTCTAGATTTTCCATATTACCCGTAAATTCTGTTGAATTTCCTTAATATTTTCTAGTCAATTTCTTCATTCAAGAATCTGTTCTTTTACTTGGAAATTTATTTTCAATCACTTAAAATTAACAGTACACAGACAAGTAACTATAAATGTACAGTTCGAGTTTTTCTTTGGTAAACATAGAGAGACTAATTTTAAAGTTAACTGCTACTGATTATTGCTAAAACCAATAATACCAAAGAAAGTCTGGAAGCATAGCTGTATCTGACAATATTAAAATAAACTATATGCAGTTTTGAGAATTGAATCCTCCTAAATCCAAATAAAAGCTAAGCTCCACCTAACAAATGTAAGTCAGAAATCAAATGAAACCAACATAATGTGTATCAAGTGATTCATTAGCTGCCAGTCAGACGTTTAAATGCTTTTTCTATTTAAGTCATACTTAACAAGGAGTGAATTATAATTCCTTAATAATAATCACCAGTGACTACATGGTCACAGTTTTTAATTAGATAATCATCAGTGACTACATGGTCACAGTTTTTAATTAGATAATCATCAGTGACTACCAGTGACTACATGGTCACAGTTCTTAATTAGATAATCATCAGTGACTACATGGTCACAGTTCTTAATTAGATAATCACCAGTGACTACATGGTCATAGTTCTTAATTAGATAATCTCCAGTGACTACATGGTCAAGTTTTTAATTAGGTAATCTCCAGTGATTACATGGTCACAGTTCTTCATTAGATAATCACCAGTGATTACATGGTAATTTATAATTAGGTAATCACCAGTGACTGCATGGTACTTTTTAATTAGGTAATCACTAGTGACTACATGGTACTTTTTAATTAGGTAATCACCAGTGATTACATAGTAATTTATAATTAGATAATCATCAGTGATTACATAGTAATTTATAATTAGGTAATCACCAGTGATTACATAGTAATGTTTAATTAGATAATCCCCAGTGATTACATAGTAATTTATAATTAGGTAATCACCAGTGATTACATAGTAATTTATAATTAGATAATCACCAGTGATTACATAGTAATTTATAATTAGATAATCACCAGTGATTACATAGTAATTTATAATTAGAAAATCATC